TAGAAACCAGGATCCAATCTGAATGAGAACATGTGGCATTTGTCTTTCCAAGCCTGAGTTACCTCACTTCATATATTATTTTCCATTTCCATCCACTTCCCCGCAAATCTTATAGTTCCATCTTTCTTTACACCTCAGTGAAATTTCATTGGAACATCTACTATATTTTCACTATCATTCATAAATTTTAAAAGTCTTAAAAACAGAATAAAACAAAACAAGACAGGGTCTTGTCGTGTAGCCCATGCTGGCCTTGAACTCCTGGTTCCTCTGCCTCAGGCTCCCAACACAGGGATTACATGTGTGTCCCACCCTGCTTGGCTTGTGATTTTCATTTCATATTATCACTAGTTTTTTGATAGATTTATCTTCTTTGGTGATGGCTTTTTTTAAAATTTATTTTTATTTATTTTATTTTTTATTTTATAATTTGATTTAATTTTACATATCAGCCATGGATTCCCCTGTCCTCCCTCCTTCTGCCCCCCTCCCTGCAGCCTACCTCCCCCCATTCCCATCTCCTTCAGGGCAAGGACTCCCTGGGGATTCAGCTCAACCTGGTGCTGGCTTTCTTATACTGCTGGAAATGGCTTTTCTATTTTATTTCAACTTTTTATTTGCTAGTATTTAGAGATGCAATGGACCTTAGCATATTGACATTGAATCCAGATACTGTGCTGAAGTTACTAATTAAGTCTAATAGTTTGTTTACAAATTATTTTAGCTTTTCTAAGTATACAATCACCTGCAAATAATGGTAGATATAGTTCTTCCTCTTTTCCTTCTTCCTTTCTTTCTCTTTCTTCTCCTTATCTTCTTCCTGTAACACGAATTGCTAAACAGTCTTATTAATGAAAAACTGGAGCCAGATATTGGGGTAAATTCTGAAAGATCAGAGGAATAGGACAAGCCAAAGCCAACCTCACCTTACCAACCTCCAGCTTCCAAAGAGACCTACTTCCTGTATACCCACACCTATATTCCTTTCTGTTCTGCTAACTCATTTCTTCTCTCTGCCCAGCTACATCACTTCCTCTTCCTGCCCAGCTGTCACTTCCTGTCTGTCTTACAGACCTCTAACCTTTATGATTAACTAGTATTGGAATTTAAGGCATGTGCCGCCGCATCTGACTCTATTCCCAGTGTGGCCTTGAACTCACAGAGATCCAGACAGACCCCTATCTCCTGAGTGATAGGATTAAAGGTGTGTGCTACCATTGCCTGACTTCTATGTCCAATATACTGGCTGGCTTTTTCCTTTGATCCTCAGATAAACTTTATTGGGGGACACAGATAAAATATCACCACATCTTCCTCCTCATTTTCTTTTGAGATAGGTTTTCTCTATGCAGTCAGTCCTGGTACCCTGGAACTGGCCTCAAACTCACAGAGATCCACCTGCTTCTGCCTCCTGAGTGCTGGGATTATAGGTGTGCACTGACACTACTGGAAACTCATTTCTTTTTAAGTTTTTTAAAATTAATTAATTAATTTTTAAATTACACTCATGATATTAATCACATTTGTGGTATTCATAGATTACATTCGCAGTATTCATTCAATTATGTATATATAATTTTAAACGTTGAATGTCATTTCTTGAAGGGGGTAGGAGGTCTTAATTACAGGCTTACAGCACAATGGGAGGACCCCGGAGGGCAGAAGTTCGCTACTGATGTTTTACAATCTTGCATCTAAGCTGTTAACGCCCATTATTCAGGATACACAGACAAGGAACTTCCCTTAAAGCATTCAGGAGGGTGGAACCTGGCAGGGAATTAGCATTGGGAGGATATCAAGGTCAAGGTCCACAAGCAAGGCAACAGTTACCCAAAACGGAGGCCAGGGACCTGCAGGTCCCCCTTTTATTAAAAAATGAGCTTCTGACTTGGGTTGCGTGGGACGTCAGCAGGTCACCTTACCCATCATGGAGACACCTGCCCAGGCTACACAGGTGCTCTGTCTTAGGTTGGTGAGTGCCCCCAGGCATTACCCGTCTCTGAAAACTCATTATCATACCGGCTCAATCGTGTGTGAGCTGCATGGTTAATTGCTGCCAAAGATCTCAAAGTGGCACTGGGCTTGCAATCTGTGTGTTCGATACAGAAAAGACCAACAGAGGTCCTATCTCACCCATAGCCAGTAGGCTAAAGGCAACTGAGC